TTTAAATCGACCGAAATCAAAGAAATACTTATGAACGAATATGAACGTCGAGCACTGAAGGAAGGAGGACAGCCTGAGGAACCATCAAAAGAGGCATACCATCAAACAACTAGCAAGGAAACTAGTAAAGAAGAAAAAAGAAGGTGCTTTAGATGTAATAAAATAGGGCATTTAGCAAATAGTTGTAATGCAAAATTGTTTAATGCGAAAGGAACTAAAAAGCGTTACGGATCAAATACACATAAAAATAGTAATGTGTTATTATTAGAGTTAAATAATACTCAGCTAGATGATGCATGGTTGATAGATAGTGGAGCAACCCACCACGTATGTAAACATAGAGAATGGTTCGATAAATATAAAACAATAGCTAACGAAATAATTTATTCAGCAGACAGTAAAAATAGTGATACTCTGAAAGCTGTAGGTGTAGGTAATATAAAAATACGAACCTTTGTTGGTAATAAAAAATTCGATTTAACGCTACTAAATGTATATCACGTTCCAAATGTAAGACGTAACTTATTGTCAGTTTCTCAAATAGAAAAAAGATACAAAAGACTATTGATAGATAACGGAAAACTTAAGATTCAAGATAAAGAAAATAATATGATAGTGGGGGAAGCTCTATGCGAAAATGGTTTATATATTGTCAAAGCAAAAGTCATGAATGATATAAATAATGTGACTAAAAGCGAAGCGCATGTTACGTATACTAATAAGTTAACAGATTCTGTTAAGTGGCATCAAAGATTTTGTCATGTGAACATGAAAACTATTCATGAGCTATCAAAAGGAAATTTGGTTAGAGGTCTAGACAACGTAAATATAAATATAAACGATGCGCATTGTAGTAGTTGTAGCATTGCAAAATCAACAAAAGCACCTTGTAAAGAAGTAAGTCATAGACAAACAAAAAATGTATTAGAGCTCATTCATTCAGACTTATGTGGCCCTATGCCAATAAAATCAATTGGTGGAGCAAAATATTTTTTAACATTCACTGATGATTATTCCAGAAAAGCGACAGTATATTGCTTACAAACTAAGGATGAAGTAGTTGAATATATTCGTAAATATGTAGCTAGGGTAGAAAGAGAAACGGATAGAAAAATAAAAAGATTTAGAAGTGATAATGGATTAGAATATTGTAATAAGATTCTTGAACAAATGTTTGATGAAATGGGTATAAAACATGAACGAACAAATGTATATACACCACAAATGAATGGTGTTGCTGAACGATTCAATAGAACGTTATTAGATTTAGTACGAGCGATGCTTATAAATGCTGCATTACCTGAAAGATTTTGGGCCGAGGCCGTGGTAACCGCGTGTTATATTAAAAACAGAGTCATACATTCATTTGTTAATGATATTCCCGAAAGGATTTGGACAGGGAATAAACCAAGCGTGAAACACTTAAAAGTATATGGTTGCTTAGCCTATGCACATATAAATAAACAAGGTAGAAACAAGCTTAGTTCTAGAGGAAAAGAATGTATACTAATTGGCTATTCTAATCAAACAAAAGGATATAGACTGTGGGATCCAATTAAATGTGACGTAATACAAACAAAACATATAGAGTTCATTGAAAACGTTTGTGGGTATGAGCATATTTATAGTAAAAAGACATTGGAAACTCCGTTTACTAACACCGATAATGTAAATACTGTAGATGAAGATAAAGAATCAGTAACTAGTGAAACACAGGAAGAAAACGCGAATAAAAATACAGAATTTGTTAATTCGCATGAAACAATATCCGAAACAAAACGTAAAGTAGGTAGACCGAAGAAGGTAATTAAAAATCCTTGGGGTCGTGCAGGGAAACCTAAAAACGTAGAATTCAATTTAACAGAAATAATTGAACCGATAACATATGAAGAGGCGGAAATGTCACCACAATCGGAGGAATGGAAGTTAGCAATGGATGAAGAGTTAACAAGTTTGAATAATAGAAATACTTGGGAAATATTAAATAAACCGGAAAATGTTAATTGTATTGGAAGCAAATGGGTTTATAAAGTTAAAACAGATTCAACAGGAAAAATAGCAAGATATAAAGCTAGAGTAGTTGCACAGGGTTTTTCGCAAAAGAAAGACATTGATTATTCAGAATCATATGCACCCGTCGCAAATATTTCATTAATTAAATTATTAATATCTATGTCAGTATTACATGATTGGAAAATACATCATTTAGATGTGAAATGTGCATATCTCTACGGAAATCTTAAGGAAGAAATTTATATGAAATTGCCACCAGGACATAAAGACTATGAAATGAAAGTAGCAAAACTTTTAAGACCAATATACGGTTTGAAACAAGCAGGGCATAACTGGAATAATGCAATTAATGAATTCTTAATAAAACACGGATTTAAAAGATTGCAAGCAAGCAATTGCGTTTACGTTTATGATAATAATCTTATTCTTACATTGTACGTAGATGATATTATATTATTTGCTCCATCAATTGACAAAGTAAATGAAATTAAATCATTACTTGCGTCTAAATACGAAATAAGAGACTTAGGTAGAGCATCATACTTATTAGGTATAACTATTGAATACGAAGAAAATAAAATAAGACTATCGCAAGCGTTATATATAAACAAATTGTTAAGCGATTATGGAATGAATGATAGTAAAACATGTAAAACACCGATTGAACCAGGGATAAAATTATCGAAATGTGACGGTCCACAGAGCGATATTGAAAGGAGCGAAATGAATAATATCCCATATAAACAATTAATTGGTTCATTAATGTATGTAGCGTTAGCAACACGGCCAGATATATTATATGCAGTAACGAAATTATCACAATTTAGTTCTAACCCAGGAAGAACACATTGGTTACAAGCTAAAAGAGTATTAAGATACTTGGCTGCGACAAAAGACATTGGCCTAATGTATACTTCTGGTACAAATGAAATAGAAATTTTTAGTGACGCAGACTGGGCATCAGATATAGATGATAGACACTCTTATAGTGGTATGGTAGTATTTTTATACGGAAATCCAATAATATGGAAATCGAACAAACAAAAGTCAATTTCAACATCTACTATGGAAGCTGAATACGTTGCGTTAGAAATAGCTGTAAAAGAAGTTATATGGTTGGATATGATGTTCAATGAATTATCACAGACAATTGATTTAGACATACCATGTAAGCCATATGTCATTAGATGTGATAATAAATCGGCAATTGACTTTACAAGAAATAGAATAGAGAGATCACGCACGAAACATATCGATATTGCTTATCATATTACTAGAGAAATGCATGAAAACGGTTTAATTGAATTAAAATATATCTCATCTAATGACAACGTGGCAGACATCTTCACAAAGCCATTACCTCATACTGTAATAAATAAACATATTGAGAAGTTGGGATTACAACTAATTGCAGAGTGATCATAGTGGGGGATTTGATAGGTGTTTGATACACACTGCAATTATATTAGACGTATCGAACATTAGATCTCGATATAACTATTATCGATTGTACTATCGATATGGATGTAACGTCCATTTTTGTTCTTTCTTCCCTTGTGTCTTTTCTATTATTACGCATAGCCGTAAGCATTCATTAAAGTACAACATATATGTATTAAGTCATTGCGTTATTCATATACACCTATCCTTTGAGTTATATAGATAAAGGTAAAAGGTGTATTTTCTGCTAACATTTATTAATGTCGTTTCTACTATTTATAAATAAAATTTTATATTAGATTTTTACTTTTAATATTTCTATCAATTTTAGCGTTATTGGAAATTGAATAAATTTTAAAATATAATTTTTGATTACAAAAAATTTAAAAATTATCGTGTATATCCAATAGCAATTAATGTAATTTCTCGTAAATATTTTCTAATATTACACTTAATTTTACATATTTACAATGACAAATTGTGTTGTTTCTGTTAATTTTTTCTCATTACAATATTGTTCGTATTATGCATATATTCTCTTTGGAATAAATATTTATTAAGAATTTTTTCGTAATATATTGATCTGATCATCAATACAAAGTGGCCAATCATTATCAAGATATCGCGCAATAAATTCGCGCGATATCTTGATAATGATTGGCCACTTTTCTTTATGCGCGTAAATAAATTCTGAATAATTTTGAATACTATAACAATTTAAAATGTTGTAATCATGATACTGCATGTAAAAAATTTTAAATATAAATAATAAAATTCACTTACCATTGATTGATCCAAAGTACGATTATTTAAAGAGTAATAGGCCAAATAAGAGTTTATTGTTAGATTGGTTCTTAAGTCCGCCAGATTGTTAATGAAAGTGCAATACGACGTAAGTATACTGAAAGATCTGTACAATTATAATATTACGAAGAATCTGCATGACAGGTAAAAATCCGAGAAACAAGTTTTATAGAAAAGTTTACTCAGAGTCATTACTTTCATAAGAAACAAACCTATTTGCAGACAACTTATACAGGGTGTTTGATAATTATAATCACTCCACCGTGTAAAAGTAGAGCAGGTTAAACCAAGTAAGAAAATTAAGTAATAAAGTACGCAACATCTACAATTACTTTCCTCGATGAAAAACAGAAAGTTTACAAAATATCGTTTTATTTTCTCGCTTTATTTTCTTCTTTTCTCGATGCTGCAATGCAGTAGCGAATTATATGAATTGTTACTTAAAAATGCAAACGAGCGCGCAAAAAAATATTTAATTTCTGAATAAAACTTTTGTAGAAAAATCAAAGGAGAATCGATGAACATATCAATTTTATTTAATAGCCATTAAATATCATGAGTATGAGTTATTGATTTACTTTTGGACAATCCCAAATTTATATTTATTCAATGAAAATTTGTGCATGCGTGAAAATGTGCGCAAGAAGAAAAAGGTCAGTGATATTGTAAAACAATTTTTGTCATGTCTTTTTATGTTTTATATGTAAATTATTTTCGATTAAACATAATTATAAACAGCTCTTAACGCTTATTAAAAAGCTGATAATTACAAGATTTAACTGCTGATACAAGATTTAGTTTCGCTTTAATTCATCGCAAGTAAAACTGAAATGTACGAGGCTGAAGCTTTTACAATCTATAATAATTAAATTTGTAATAATTAAAGATATTCGTGTATCTCGAATTAGAAAATATTAATATGCAAAAGTAATTGTATCTTCTCTTAATAGATCTCTGTACAATGTATAACAAGTATATTTTATCTGGTAACTATTATTTTGTCATTAAAAAAATATAAAATATAAAATAATACACATTACGAAAATTAATTAACCATAAATAATAAGAAATAATAAGTAATCTTTATATGTTCTAAGAAATAATAACATGTTTCTTTTGTCGCAGTTTCAGAGAAGATAGCGATCTATAAAAGATCGTAAATGATCTGTAAAAGATAAGTACTTAGATATACTTACACTGCTAAATTGTTGTAAAGACAAATTCATAGTTTTTCCAATTGTAATGGTTAGTTGTCTCTGTGATTTCATTATCACGAACAATATAATCCGACTATCTTTAGAATTTGATTCGTACCAGAATGAATTATATGCAGCATCCCCGATACTGTCACTCTGAATGGAACAAATAGAATATTAATAAAATTTCTCAAAAGTAATTAATAAACCTGTCCGTTGTGGCTGTAAAATATTTATCTTCAAATTTAACCTTGGTACTTAAATATTCTCCAGCGAAGCAGAACACAAACGCTTCCATATTCATAACAAAATAAAATAAGAGTGTCCTCATTATAATTTTTGCGGCATCCGGTGTTCCAACTGACTGGAATATTAAGAAAAAAGAATTTAATGGCAATGAGAAAACGGTGAACAATTAAAAGCAATTAACGCTCTTCACTTTGCAGATTTATTTTTGCAAGTGCTCTTCTCCGTCGTAAAAATTGTCACACTGCAAAATGGAAAAAGTACTGCTTACCGCGACCATTACAAAACCTAAACAGCAGATAATGAAAGTATCCGACACAAACAGCACCATTGCAATATTCGAATACAGATCTTCGATATACTCTGAAAAGGTGATGATTTGCTGATGTTTCTTGATTATTTTTTTATCGTAAAAGAACTCGGACTGCGCTTCTCTTTTGTTGGAAACATTTCCATCAACCATTCGCAAAGGATATTGATTTGACCACCTACGTGCAATATCTAAGGTACACGATTACAATAAAATTATTTTAAAATTATTTTATTTTATTATATTTTTTTAGAAGAATTATTTACCCATATATATATATATATATATATATAGGATAATTTATAAATGCATAATGTTTATAAATAATTTTTGTTATGCCAGACGGCGAATATACATATTAAAATGAATAAAAAATGTTAGATTGAATATAACTGTGCACATCATAATTTTTCTGAGTTGTAGAAAATTAAAAAAATAACTGTTTTATATATATGCTTTACATTACGTTTTAATATTGAATCCTTCACTCGCTGGACGTTGTTGGAATTTTTTCAAATCCATTTTATATATTTTCCTGTAAATTGTGAACTTTATTAGTTGTGTTGCAAATATAATTAATTTTGAATAACTCTCAAAATAAAAATGTTAAAGTAGAAAATTATTCTATTGCCTCGTCTTAGTTCTCAAACTGAAAAGAAGTTGTTTAAAAATATTCAGATTGCAAAGAGCAAAGAATAAAGTCGAAGATTTGCTTTAATCTTCCATAACTCAGAACTATATAATATGTACGATTTATGTTTAAATATTTCTTATTTAATTATTTTAGTGTTACTACATTCACCCTCTAAAGTATTGTTGCAAATTTATAAATTATCCTGTATATTGTCAATTGATTATAATTAATAAAATATTACTGAACATTTAATAATGATAATATCAATAAAATAATTTGTTAGATAATAACAATGAAAGTCACCAAATTTATTAATAAAGCGTTTAATAGACCGATTGCACAGGAGCTCAACCATACGTGAAGAAATTGAATAATTATGATCAGCTCGTATACGTATGCTCGATTGTAGTTAAATGGTAGATCCATGTCCGTAAGAAGCGGTCGAGTGGAAGTATTGGAAGCTTCATCGTCGTTTGTGTGTTTCATCACAATATTGCTACTGTGAAAAATTACAGCCATCGAATAAAGGACCACTGTCATATTAGTGAAACGTCGGGACAGCTTGGCATTGCATGTCATCGCGAACATACTGAATTTCGCGCTATAACACTTCTCCCAATCGATCGCCATCATCGTTAATATCCTGTCAAATGTTCTACGGATGGTTTTCGAATGGTCATAATCGTGAAAATAATTGCAACAAAACGTATAAATCAATAACGAAAAAGAAATTTATGTATATACATATATATTTATATTAAATATTTATATTATATTTAACTTTATTATGTTTATATTAATAATATTATCAAACAATTTACTTAATTAATAAAATTTTAAACATAAATGTTAAAACAAAATATAAAGAAAGATAATATATTTTAAATATGAAGTATAGTTTCTAATAATAAGACAAATATATTTTTACTAATATTGCATATCTCACCGTTGTTTATACCACAAAAGGATAAGTTTAATTAAGAATATCGAGTATGACAGTGTTTCACCTAACAAGTTCATTACTTCGAAAAACTCGGTCGAATGGAAATGTATTATAATATATTGATAATGAAAATATTGCTCGATTAGAAGCGCAATGATCCAGAATAATCTTCGTAACAGAACATATGACGAGTCCGGCCAAATGCCCAAAATTCGAAGGCAAACTTCCAACGATTTACTAAATATATTGTCCACTTTCATATTTCCGATTTATTATATCGCTTGTTTCAATTACTTAAAAAACTTTGTTTTACACACACCGGATCTAAGACAATAATTTTACATTATGAGAGATACGCGTCCGATTAATCGTACGATGTGCTCGATACTGCACCTTTGTACAGACTGAAAGAAGCTTGAAAAGATAGGAAGAACATATACCCTCCCTCGAGCGACTGCTTATTAAATATTTTGGTCGCAAAGCATACGGATTTGCGTATGTCTTTGTCGTGATCCTACGATAAAAAAACATTTCCGGGGAGATGGCTGATCCTCCCTCACTCTATCTCTATCTCTCTCTTTCTCTCTCTCTCTCTCTCTCTCTCTCTCTCTCTTTCTCTCTCTAGGGCGAGTCGATGATGCAGCGCAGTGCGTTATTTCCTTTAAAAATTCAAGCAATAGCAGATAGCAACACACGCAAGCATACACCGGACATTAAACTAAGTTTAGTGACTGTAAGAAAATTTTTAGTCTTCGTAAAAATCGCGTGTGTTCTAAGAAACCAGAAGAGACCTATTATAGTCGTATTATTTATGACTGAAAGAAAAATAGTATAATAAAAAAAGTACTTTAATTTTAAACCAAATCTTGGCTTTCTCTTCTTTTTCTTCTTTTTCATCGTTTCCTTCAACTCTGTCAGTAACAAAGTAATACAATTAAAATGTAAAATGCTATGTGCGCAAAAAAGGGATAAGGTCCAAATAAAACGTTAGAATTTGGAACGGAGATAAATAAAACCTGAGAGCGAGGAAAAACCGAGTAAGTTTACTTTGTTTGATGTTATTTAATAAAAGTTTACGTATTTCGAGTTATTGATTTTCTTTCCGAGTTTATCCTTGTTTTCATACACTTGTGCAATACCCGAGATGAGAAAATAAGAAGTAAAAGTAATATTGAAACGGTTTTTATTGATTTTAATTTGTACCAATTTTTTACAATTAGATCATTAGTTAAATTTTTAACATTAATTAAAAGCAGGACATGTAAAATGCAATTTGCTTCATTCACAATTCGAAAACAAAACAAAAATATATAAAAAGTTAAAGCTTTTACAATCTGTAACGAGTTTTACTCGTTTATCAAAATAAAAGACATTAAAAATAAAATTAACATACAAATAAAAAAGATTAGTATAATATTTCAAGAAAATTACTTATTTTATCAAAATACATATAAATATATGAAAAGTAGAAATAAAGTTTGTATTATATAAATTATGTTAAAGATAAATGTATGACTTTTCAGATAGAATAGTAAATTGATTTTGTGATTTTATCATCAGAGGCAATATAACTCAATTCTATTTTCGATATCCAATTTGTATTAAAAGAAAATATGACTGCACTTTTCTTTGAATCCGATATTGATGAAAAGACATGAATCTATTTCTTTAAGAATGAGTTAGAATTATTTATTATTTTATTAGAAAAATATATTATATCGTTTTTTTATTTTTATTATAATATAATATACACAATTTTTTATCTTATTCTAAAAGTGTTTCTTTTCTTCGATAATAGATCTTTTTTAAATTACCAATTTAATTTGAAAGAAAATGCAGTTTCGCTTTAATATTGACTAAAATTCCAATAAGATATGTGTATGACTTATCAAATTTTTTATTAAAAAGAATTAAAATTGTTTATAATAAATTTTAATTTAGATATCTTTAATTTAATTTTTAATTAAAAAATAAGATTTCTCTATCGAGAAAAGTGATGATCTGTTGAGAAAAATATGATAAAGCAGATGAAGAAGAAGCGAAAGAAAAGGGAGAAGGAAAAAACACGAATTAGAAATGGTAAAAAATGAAGGGAAAACAAAAGTAGGAGATAAGAAGGGGATATAAGAAGGATGAGAAAGTTGAGGTACAATGGAGAATTCCCGACTATTAAAAAAATAAGGGGTTAAAATATCTGATGAAATATTTGAAATAGTCAGAATGGCATGCAAATCCGTGAATAACACGAGGGAAAAAGATTGAAGAAGACATACAGAAACTATGTGAGAAGGAAACATGAGAGAATGAAAATTAATATTGAATAAGGTAGAAAAACGGAGAAAATAAAGAAATTTTGATAAAAGATGGATGAAAGAAATAATAAATAGAATATAGATAAAAGTTACACTTTATTATAAAGTCGTGATTATCGAGATGTACGCGAAATATGTGACTGACGATGATAAAGATATGCAATTAAAAGGAAATAAAGTAGAATAGAAAAGAATAAACGCGAGTGTGACAAAAATGTATAAAAATAAATGCGATAAAAATTGGCATACAAAATAATCGAGCATATAAATTATTGTTAACTAAAAAGCATAAATACTGTCTTTTAATTAACTTCTATATGTTTAATTATAGATTTTTTTTACTAACATAATTCATTTCTTTTTGTCATAACGATAATCCTGGAGTAGACAAAGATGATACATATGCATGCATATAAATACAATACTATGAAAGTTCGATAGATTTATAAAATCGAGATATAAATTTTATAAAATAATTATTTATATTCCATATAGATTTATAAAATAATGATGTTCCATTAATAATACGAGAATAAGTGATTATCGGATAGAACAAGTAATAATTGCGCACAAAGTAATGTATTGTAATAAAGTGACGAAAACTTACGCTAATTAAACGTTTCAACGACAGATTCATAATCATCTTCCCGATCATAGTCGATAATCGCTTTTGTGATCTCACAATCAATGTCAATAACGATATCGTTCGCCTCTTGTTCACATGTATATTGTGCCAAAAGGATTTGTAAACCATATGTCCGATATGCTGGTTCTAAATACTAAATGTAGCAGAAAAGTAGTAAAATAGCAAAATGTGCATTTTTTTCTAACAAAATTGATCTTGATAAAACTTGCCACAGAAGAAATATAAGATTAAATAATTAAAACAGCATATATACATATAAATTTAACATATATAAGACAGGCAATAAGAGCCAAATCGCGTATGACAGTGCGTTATCCTAAACAAAACTAAATTTTTTCGTTAGAATTAAATACCTTGTGCACAAGGCACCAAATTTTACTTGGACACGGACATCATTAGGGAAAATAGGGGATACATGGAATTAAAATCTCTTGTAGAGATTATTCCAATTTTATATCTTGGCCGTGTCCAAGTAAAATTTGGTGCCTTGTGCACAAGGTATTTAATTCTAACAAAAAAATTTAGTTTCGTTTAGGATAACGCACTGTCATCCGCGATTTGGCTCTTATTGCCTGTCTTATATATGTTAAATTTATATTTATATTACAGAGCCTAGTTAAACTCTTAGCATATATACAATTTATATGTTTTTTTACATGTAATTGTGATAAAAACAATTTACATGTAAAGTGCGTAAAAAGAAATGAAATTAAAAAAGTATGTAATGTATAAAAATTAAAGCTGATAGCTTTCATTAAACTCATATGTCACACAGCAGAGTGTCGATTTAGTCAATTTAAATGTAAAATTTTAAATTATGTGTGTGTGAGATCGTGTTTGTAGCAATTATTAATTAAATATCACTTGTTGCAGCACTGAAATGTTTGTACGGACAAAATAAAGTAGCATTAAAATCAAATTAACATCACACGCTGATTGTCAGCTATTCCCCGACAAAGCAGAAAGTGAATAATATGACATTCCTAACGATGTTAAACAGCAATCTTTATCAAGATTGCAAAATGATCTAGAATGTTTATTAATTGCAACATTATTTGCATTGCTCTTTAAACCTCTACAGGTCTCTATCTTCAACCTTTAAATGCCTCAAATGCCTTTAATTTAGTGCTAGTCTTTAGAATTTTTTTTCTTTTCTATATTGCTATCAAAAATAATATTATTAAAAATTGAAAAATCATTATTTTCGATTGTAATACAGCATTGAGATCCATTATTTATAATTTAAATAGTCTAATTTTACCGCTAATTATTTTATATTAATGCAACATTATTTTAAATAACTCAACATTAAATTTTTTAAATTTACTATAAAATTCTGTAAAATTATATCTTTATTCAAAACTCAAAAATTTATAATAATTAAAAATTATAATCAATTTTATGATAAGATAATAAAAAATTTATAATCAGATAGAACTATATCACAATGGATAATTTTATTAAATGCGCTCATTTAAAAATTTGACTTGAATAAATCATTCGCAACGCATTAATGCGACTTATCACAATCATAATTAATTAATTATTAACTTACCAATAATTGATTTAGCAGACAATCATTTTGGAATAATAGATTGTAGACCAAAGTAAAGTTCAGATTGCCAAATCAAGTCCACCAGATCGTCTATGCAATACGACATAAGCATACTGAAAGGTCTCTACGATGATTAAATGTTGCATACCTGAAGAATCTGCACGACAGACTAAAAGATTAAACATCCGAAAAACAAGTTCTGAAAGATACATAGAAAAGCTTGTAGTCGTCATGTTTATAAGAAATAAACCTTTTTGTTGCTCATAAAAATACCGGCGAACATATCGTTTTCTTTCGATGGAAATTGTATTGCAAAGCAGATAGTTAAGGATGAGAATTTTATTACGAAATCGCATGGTACGCAATTGATCGAGATCGGATGATCATTAAATATTCTATTTGCTATCGAGCGATATAAATACGATTGTAACTGTATACATCACAGTTACATCTCGATAATGGTCAAAAAAGAGGAAAATTTACAACATTTGTTTCCACACGCTCGGTTTCCTCTTTCTCTCGATATTGTGACGCAATATGGCGGCGAATTATTGTATATGCGAAATATTAGTTTAAAAATGCAAGATGCGAGCGCGGAAAGTGTATTATGTTCGAGTGA